CTAGCCAGATTCAGGTGTCTTTTTCATGAAGGTGATCTCGAGTGGTGCTGTTGTTGAGGTTGTAGGAATTGCACTTGAACCATTCGCATGCTTCGTTAAATCGCATTCAGAACCGTTTCATTTTTTTTTTTTTGTCCCTTCTGAGCGTAAGCAGTGCTGCATTGCTAACTAGCGCATCCTTTAATTATGAAATTTTTTATGATATTACATGTTTTCCTCAGGCATTTGCTGTTAAATGCATACATAAATTCGACACGATGATATGCAGTGCTGCATTATCGGGCTTCGGAACTGGATTTAGCAAACAGTACGCTGTTTTTATGCGCATTAAAATCCCTGTAGTTCTGTCCTGAATGTTCGGAAATAGATATTGCTTTGGATAACCGGAGTGCTTTTTGAGGTCCATCCAAATCGTCCAGTTGTAATTCTTTTCGGCGATGGTGCATGCGGATTCTCGTTTATGGATTTGGACACTTTTGTGCGGCATAAACTTGGCGTGTTGGTGTTTATTGGAAACGACGCTTGCTGGTCACAGATTGCGCGTGGTCAGCTCGCCATGTTCAATAGTTCTGTCGCCGTGAACCTACTGGTACGCAGTGTGATCGACAAGTTGGCAGTCGCAATGCATGTATGTGCGGGCATCAATAACAGGAAGTTATGTTTCAGGATACGAGGTATGATAATGTTGCTGCAGCGCTGGGTGCAGCCGGCAAACTAATCAGTCCCGAAAATGGATTGACACGCGTGCAATTTGAAGAACTCTTTGCATCAGCAGCACTTGGTGAGACAGTTGTGGCGAACGTCCTCATTGGCAAGACGGATTTCAGGGCTGGCAGTATGAGCGTGTAATGCGGTGCTAGTTCTCTCATTCTGTGCATTTTGCGTTTTTTGTTGCGTTTGCTCAAACTGACATACCTGGCCGGAGGGATTGCGGAATGAGGATACAAAAAGGGGTACGCTGGAAGCAGCAGAAAAAGTTCAGTGGCTTTAAAGTGAACAAACAAATATCTGTACTGTCATAAGTCGCGAGGGTGATACAGTTAGCTGTACTACCTTACCCTGTAACTGACGTGGGATTAAGTGGAAGCATTGGGTTCCAAAAAATTTTTCTTTCTGATCACACACATTAGCAATTTAGAAAGCATATGCTCGGCAACATGAACAAATTTGTGTCCTTTCATAGCCACGGTGGTGTTGCTTCAAGATAATATGGCCTTTGATGGTCTAGTTCTGTAAATGTTGAGATATTTCACATGAGATGCAAGATGTAATTATTGAACTGCAAAAAGAGAAAGAAAATTTACTGTGGGCTGTGTTTTGTGAAAGGCCAGGTGCGTCACTGTCTGTTAATTATGAATTGTTTTAACAGTTGTTTTTTGTTAACGAGCAGTCGAGGAACGTCACGTGTCACCATTTAAAAAAAGAAACGATGAAAATTAGTATGGGAAAGTG